CCCACCCCCACCCCAGAGGGAAGAAGCTGTTTCCTTTTCTCACCTGGGAGTTTGAGGACTCCCCAGCCTTGCTTTCCAGGGTCACCGGGAAGATTCCCCCTCCCGTCGTTCTGAAAGCCTTTTCCCTAGACAGTGAATGCTTGGCTTCCAAATCGAATCCTTTAGGACACCTTTCATTTTGTCCCCTGCTCTCGTAAGATTCTTTCCTACAAGTGAGTACCCTTGGCAAGGGCTCTCCCACTCAGACCTTCCTTTTTTCCACCTTCTCCCCATCCTCTGGGAAGGGGAGACCCCCCCCATCTCTGAATATGGGGGATGGAGAGAGGTCCTTCTTGAAACTGGAGGTGTTTGCTGGGGGTGAAGGGCCAGACCTCTCTTGGGCCCTTCCTGCCCTTTGCCCTCCTTCCAGGCGGTTTCTGGTGTTGGGAAATTCCCAGGGGAAAGGCTCAGAAGGCTGAGCAGTGCTGGGTGCCAGGAGATGGTGGGAGTGGTGCCAGACAAGAGTATTCAGAGACATCCCCTCCCCTCCTATGGGCTGGTCCTAGTTTCTTCGCATTCGTTCATGGTCAAATATTTGTTGAGGGCCTACTGACATACAAGGCATTGTGTTAGGCAAGCAGGAGGAATAGACAGCCAGGGAAAGGGTGAGGAGGTTGGATGGGGAGAACCCCACCTTAGCAAATGGGGGTGGGGAGCTCTCTACTCTCGGTCACCCAAGGCTGTCCTGTGGGTTTAACACCCTGGAAAGAGAGACAGAGGATAGATGGCATTCCTAGGGACTTCTCCCCACTTTTGTCCTCCCCTTCCCCCCAAGGACACTGAGTTGCCAGGAGATTATGTGTCTTATTCCTGGTGGGGCCAACATAGAAGAGGATCTTTCTTCCCACTTTCCAGAGAGGCCGCGGGGGCAGAATCTCCTCAGTGTGCCCTACAGGCCAGAGCCCAAAGTCTCAGCCTCACTCCAAGTTTGCCAAGCACAAAACGCAGCAACTCTTCCATTGTTACCCTCTAGTGGGGCTTGCCTGGCCTTTCCTGTGGCACTGATGCTCCCCAGTCTTCTTCCCTGTCCCCAGGTAGTGACCCCTCCCTTCTGGGTCTGACTGCCCCACGGATGTGCCCAGCCTTGGGAGTCTGGGCACACCTAGTGTGGCTGTAGCCAGGCCCCAGAGGCGCAAGGCGGCCCCAGCCATCTGCACATACTGAGTCTGATGTGTTGACACTGGGGGCTGGGTGGGGGTGGGGGATCCTCTGCCTGTTTTGAATCAGGAGTTAATCTACCTAATGCATGATGTCTGGGATGTCATAGGCAGGCGGCAGTGGCTCCGTGACCTGGCGACTGGGGGGAAGGAGGGATGAGACTTTCTCTTTGTATGTGCGCATTGTGTGGGTGCTGTTTTGTGTGTTTCTGCAGTTGAGGGGTGTGTGTGTGTGTGTGTGTGTGTGTGTGTGTGTGTGTGTGAGCGTGCACACACTTGTGAATGGTATCTTTGGGTGTCTCTGTGACTCTGGGGGATGTTGACAGGGGGTGTGAATGGTACTGGCGCCTCTGTATTTCTGTGCGGGGAGCTGGAGCGTGTGTGATGCAGGTGAGGGGCCTGCGAGGGGTACATACTTGTGCATGAGTGGGACTGCTCTCTGTATGAATGTCTCTGAGCTTCTGGGGTTGTTTCTGACCGTGTAGGGCTTCTCTCCAAGTGCTTGTGTCCTTTTGTGAGCGTGTTTTCGTTACTCTGGGTGTATCTGTGGCCATGTCCTTATCTGAGAGCGTCTGAGAGTCTGTGCTCAGCTCAGCGCGGGGCCTGCGTGTTTCGGGGCACCATGGGTGGCCTGCATGTATGCTGTGTAATGATGGTGGTAGAGGAGGGACAGCGGCCTTCTCTGCAGAGCCGTCCATCACCGCCAGGGCTGCAGACATGACTCCCATCAGAAATCTTCCCGTGCCCTCTGCCTGCCTCTGCCTGCCCCCCGTGTGTCCACTCCCTCTGCTGCCCCTCCCCTTCCCAAGGCCACAGGCAGCTGTGGCTAGGGCCCATTACTCCAGCCTCTTGCCTTCCCTCCCCTCCCCTCGGCACCTGTGGGCAGCCCCTGGCACCCACGGGGGTGGCATGTGTCCATAGATTGTTCTAGGCATTGGCTGGGGCACAGACTTTGCTGTCCCCTTCCCTTGCCTGGTGTGTGACTATCTTTTGTGTCCCTTGGAGCCAGTCCCGGGGGGGAGAGGTGGCAATTGTAGCTCGGACAGGGATGGCCCTGGTGAGTGAACCCCTTCATCCCAGCCCAAGCCTGGCCTCACCCCCACTCTAAAGGTCTAACTCCATCCCAGCAGTGCCCCTCGACTCAGCCTCCGACCTACTCCTCTCGGCCATGGAAGCATTCAGGTTGCCCAGGATACCCCTCTGTGATGTCCTGCCCCTATCAGGGACCCTCAGTGTCCCTCCTCTCTGTCAGTGGCTCTGAGGCCGGGGAATCTTGTCTGCTTGTGCCAGGCACCCCAGTGCTGGGCCATCTGCTGCCTCTGTCTTCCTGCTGAGGCTGGCACCGGTCAGCAGGGTGCCCTCAGCTTTGCCAAGAACCAGCCCAGCCTCTGGCCTCCTTCCTTGTCCTTAGCCATCTGGAAGGGCCTTCTGGTCTCTGGGGAAGACAGGGTGACCCTAGGTTGTTGTGAATGAGGAAGAACCTGAGTTCCCCTACTCTAGGGGTGCAAGGAGCCTTCCTCTCTCATCTATCTGGCCAGAGGACGTTGTCCACACTCCCAGTCTCTACGGCCCCCCTTGCTGCCCATGGCTCCCCGTGGTGGACACCTGTCCACTTTGCTCTGTAAATCCAGTCCATCGCGGTACACAGGCCTCCCTGCCCTGGCCTTGGCCCCCGGCCACCCTCTTCTACCCTGTGCCATATCA